TCTTTAACAAAAAAGAAATAATAGATGGAGGGAGAAAGGGGAAAAGGGAAAGGGAAAGAGAGAGAGAGAGCGAGTGCGCTAGACAGAAAGAGATTTCTTCTGATTCATGCCCCAAATGCCTACAACAGCTGGGGCTGGACCAGGCCAAAGCCAAGGGCCAAGAACTACCTCTAGGTCTCCCATGTGGGTGGTAGGATCCACAGTACCAGACCAATCACTCACTGTCCCCCATGGTGTGCATTAGCAGGAAGTTGCATCACAAATGAGAACTCAACCAGGCACCCCAATATGGGATATGTATGTACATTTACTCCAAGGCATTTGATTTTTCCTGTAGCTATTGTGAATGGGATTTGTGGCTTTGTCTCTGTATACACGACTATTGATTTTTGTGTGTTGATTTTATATACAGCCATTTTACCAAACTCTTCTATGAGATCCAATAGTCTTGTAGCTGAGTCTCTTGGATCCTCTATACTTAGAATCATGTCATCTGCCAATAGGGATATTTTTACTTCCTCCTTCCCAAATTGTATCCTTTGAATTCTTTTCCTTGCCTAATGGCTCTGGCTACAACTTCCAGGACGATTTTAAATAGCAGTGTTGAGAGGGGTCATCCATTTCTGGTTCCGGATCTCAATGGGAATGCTTTCAGCTCTTCACCATTCAATAGAATGCTGGCTGTGGGTTCCTTCTATACCCAATGTACTTAAGGTTTTCACCATGAAATATTATTGTATTTTATCAAATGCTTCCTGGTCATCTATTGAGCTAGTCATATGATTTTTCTCTTCAGTTTTTTAATGTTACATATTTCACTGATTCATTTGCAAATGTAGAGCCAGTGATAAATCCAACTTGGTCCAGGTGAATGATGTTTGTGATGTGTTGTTGAATTCCATTATTTTAGATTTTTGCATCTATGTTCATCAGGAAAATTTTTTATAGTTCTCTTTCTCTGTTATATCTTTTTCAGGTTGAGTAATTAATGTGATGCTGGCTTCAACAAAGGAGTTTGGCAGGATTCCCTCCCTTTCAATGAATTGTTTTGAATATCTTGAGATAGTTCTTAAATCTCTGGTAGAATTCATCAGCAAAGGGCCGGCCCTGTGGCTCACTTGGCTAATCCTCCGCTTGTGGGGCCAGCACCGTGGGTTCTAGTCCCGGTTAGGGCGCCGGGTACTAGTCCTGGTTGCTCCTCTTCCAGTCCAGCTCTCTGCTGTTGCCCTGAGAGGGCAGCAGAGGATGGCCCAAGTGCCTGGGTCCCTGCACCCTCATGGGAGACCGGGAGGAAGTATTTGAGGGGCAAATAGAGAGAGAGAGAGAGAGAGAGAGAGAGAGAGAGAGAATGAGAGTGAGAGAGGTAGAGGGGGAGAGGGGTGAAGCAGGGAGGGAGGGAGAGAGGGAGGGAGGGCGAGCGACAGAAAGAGGGAGAGAGGGAGAGGAGAGAGAGAGGGAGAGAGGGAGGGAGGGAGGAAGAGAATTTCCATCTGCAGGTTCACTCCCCAAATGACTGCCATGGCCAAGGCTGGGTCAGACCAAAGCCAAGAGCCAGGAGCTTCATCCAGGTCTTCTACATGGGTGCAGGGACCCAAGCACTTGGGCTATCCTTCACTGATCTTACAGCACATTATCAGGGATCTGGTTTGGAAGTGGAGCAGCCAAGAATTGTACCGTTACCCATACAGGATGCCAACACAGCAGGCATCAGCTTTAACCACCACGGCACACTGGCATCTATATGTTACCTTATGAGAAACCAGAAAATGGTTATCCACAGTGGCTGAGTCTTTTTGCATCCTCATGACCAATGCATGGTGGTTACAACTGCTCTCCATCCCTACTGATACTTGTTCAGTTTGTTTGCTTTTATATTAACCATTATGGTGGTGTTAAAGTGGTATCTCACTGTGATACACTGATTTCCATTTCCCTCATGAGCATCTTTGCATGTGCTTTTACCCTTTTATATATCTTCTTCACTTTCTTTTTGGTTCAGTGATAAGGGTTCTCAATGTAATCTCATACTCTTCATATATATGAATCATATCACATTCTATAAATCATCTTTTCACTTTCTGGAATATGCTCTTTAATACTTTAAATTTAAAATTTTTTCCTTAAAATATTTACTTATTTCATTTTAATTGTCAGGCAGAAAAACAGAGAAAGAGTTATAGAGACAGACAGAATGATAGACAGACAGGCAGATCTTCCAACCACTGATTCACTCCTCAAAAGCCTGCAATGCAGTTCTGGGCCAGAATGAAGCCAAAAACTCAGAACTCAAACCAGGTCTCCTGCATGTGTGGCAGGGACTCGACGACTTGAGCCATCCATCACATGCTGCCTTCCAGAGTGCAAATGAACAAGAACTGGAAGCAGAGCCAGAACTCAAACTCAGGTTTGAGTGATACAGAATGGGGCAACCCAAGTCTTGACTTCGGCACCAAAGGCCTGCCCAAAATCTATGATTTTCATGAGATGCAATGGATCTGTTTTGTTGCTGTTGTTGCTCAGTGTTCTAGTGTCCTAAGAATCCTTTGCTTAATCCAAGATCATGAAGATTCACCCTTACGCTTTTGTCTCTGAGTTTTATTGTTTTTAACCTTCATATTTAGATTGTTGATTTAAATAGAGTACATTACCATACAGTATGAGGTAGGAGTTCAACATCATTCTTCTGCATGTGGATATCCAATAGCATTTGTCAAAAACACTATTCCCACTACTTTGAATAATCTCGGTACTCTTTCCAAAAATCAGAATAGGATATATGGATTTATTTCTGTATTCATTTATTCTGTACTCTAGCATGTATTACATGAATTCCACCTTAAAATATGCTGCTTTTTTGGCCACAAGGGAACTTTGGGGACAATGGATATAATTTCTATTTTGTTTCTAGTGATAGTTTCATGTTTATATATAAAAAAAGCAAATCCTGTGCTTTAAAAGTGAGGGACAGTTTTTTATTCTTGGTTTTTATTTAGTGTTTTCTTTTTTTCTCTGTTTTTTTCTTTCTTTTGCTTTTCTCTTCTTCATACTAATATTGAACTCTTTAAGTAACATAGAGTTAATCATATGTATATTAAGTCAATTGAGAAAAGATCCCATTAAAAAGTAAGAGTGGGAATAAGAAAGGGAGGAGGTAGTCTATACCTGTAAATCTATATAGTTCTGCATACAGTCCTACAGACTTACTTGTAAGGGTACAGCCTAAAAACTTGATATGGGACTCCACTCCCATCAAAAGTGGCGGTAAAAATGCCATCTTAATGGTTAAAGTGATCCTATTAAATGTTAAAGTCAACATATAGATAGATTTAACTGTAAAGTGATCATATAAATAACATCAAGTGCCTGGTAATAATAATAGACAAAATTAACAAGGAGGGCATGTCCAATATGAGAAGCAGTCCACACAGCAGACTCCTAGAATGACATTCACTGTAAGTAACGCTCTGACCTCAGAATCAATCCTTAAGGCTTCCTGGTATGGCTGAAAGGCCTCTAAGAGCATTGCAGGCAAAGAAAGCCAAGACTGTGACAAAAAATAATCCTACACGAAGGATCTCCATGATACCTCAGTGGAAAGAAGGGGCCATCAAAGAAGGATGTACTTCTCTCTAAAGGGAGGAGAGAACTTCCACTTTGCTTATGGCTGTGTCCAAATACTGATGGAGTCTGTCGTCACAAAAGGCTTGGCAGCCCATGGCAAGAGCCTCTAGTGATCACGGACGTTATAAATAAAGAGTGTTTCTTGGTAAAGGAACAACAGAAATCACTGTGCACTTAATCCCCATGTCCATCCTTAATGAGTTGTACTATGAGAATTAACTGCAGAAATTGTTCTCAAACTGTACTCTATGTGCTGTGTGTGGGTGTGGGTGCAAACTGTTGAAATCAGTACTTAACATAGAGTGTTGGTCCTCTGTGTATAAAAATAACTAAAAATGAACCATAATGAAGAAGGGAATGGGAGAGGTAGTAGGAGGTGGTATGGGAGTGGGGGTGGGAGGGGAAAGAAACACTGTATTCTAAAAGTTGAAACTATGAAAAATGCATTTATTAAATGAAAGTATTAACAAAAGAAAAAAATTCAATTACTGTGTATCAATTCTATGGAAGATGGAAAATCAATCTCTCTCTCCCTCTCTCTTGTTCGCTCTGTGTGTGTGTGTGAATGTGTTTTCAGTCTCTCTCACTGTGCCTTTCAAATGAACAAAATAAATATTTTTAAAAGTCAAACTCACTTATTTTATATGGAATTCTTTAAATTTACCTTGATTATATACCTTTCTGCACACAGTTGGAACTCAAGAGAAGCATGCTAAATTCAATGCACTGAACACTAGATATGCAAATATGTACATGAATAGTTTAGTTCAGATTTTCATCATTGTGGTCTCCTAAAGAAACTAGCCCATCTGTAGAAGAACAGGTCTAGTATCAATATGATCATTCAAGCTGGTTCTAAATTTAGGGATCATTTGTGGACCATCCAATAAAATCCTTTAGAGTGACTAAGAAATAATCAAAGACAAGGGAGGGGAACTTCCTCACTTGATAAAGAATGCCTACAAACACAGCTCGTATTGTACCTAATGTTGAGAAACCAGACACTTGATCTCTAGAATCAGCAACTAGAAAAGGATGCTGTATCTCACCTCTCCTGTTGGCACTGTGCTGTAATTCCAAGCTAATGCAATAATACAAAGAAAAGCAATGCAAGAAAAAAATAAAAGAAATGCATAACCATCAGGAAGGCAACCATAAAACTTTTTTTTTTTACTGATGACATGATCATCTAATGAAGAAACCTCAGCTGATAGAAAACAAATTCCTAGAATTATTAAGCGATTACATCATGTCCCCAGTAATTCAGGTAAATACAGAGCAAATTGCTTTCCTATCTATCAGTGTGACAGTCAGTTACTTGCTAATTTGAAATACTGGAAAATAACTTCTTGGGAAGGGAACACATCATTTTGTCTTACAGTTTGAGGTTTACGGTTCAGGATCAGGTGGTCCCACTAGCCTGGTGTGTGATGGAAGCCAGCAATGATGCAGTGTGTATGCAGGAAGCATTGCACGGTGGACCTGGAAGCAAACAGACAAAGGAAGGACTCTTGGCTTATGCAGCCTCCCCTCTTGTGGGAACTCATTTGGAGGACCAGCCCCCAACGACCTAAAGACCTCTCTCCAGGTCCAGCTTTCAGATGCCATAACTACATCACATCTCCTTCCTTAACCCATCAAAATGGGTCATTAGAGAATATAAGGGAAGGTGGCAAGAAGGATAATGAGAGGCTACATAAGGGTATTAGAAGACAGTTAGGGGCAGTGTTGTGGTGTCATGGGTAAGGATGTCACCTGCAGTGCTGGAATCCCATGTGTGTACCAGGTCAAGTCCCACCTGCTCCACTTGCAATCCAGCTCTCTGCTATGGCCTGATAAAGCAGTGGAAGTTGGCCAGGGTCCTTGAGCCCCTGCTCCCAAATGGGAGACCGTGAAGAAGTTCCTGCTTCCTGGCTCCAGGCTTTGGATCGGCACAGCTCCGACCGTTATGATCAATTGGGAAGTGAGCCAATGGATTGAGGACCTCTCTCTCTTTCTCTGTCTCTCTCTCTTTCTCTCTGCCCCTCCTTCCCTGTCTGCAGAAGTCTAACTTTCACCGGCGCCATGGTTCACTAGGCTAATCCTCCGCCTGCAGCGCTGGCACCCGGGGTTCCAGTCCAGGTTGGGGCACCTGTTCTGTCCTGGTTGCTCCTCTTCCAGTCCAGCTCTCTGCAGTGGCCCAGGAAAGCAGTGTAGGATGGCCCAAGGGCTTGGGCCCTACACCTGTATGGCTCCTGGCTTCGGATCAGTGCAGTGCACCGGCCATAGCAGCCATTTGGGGGTGAACCAACGGAAGGAAGACCTTTCTCTCTGTCTCTCTCTCTCACACTAACTCTGCCTGTCAAAAAAAAAAAAAAAAGAACTCTAACTTTCAAATAAATACATTTTTTAAAAAAAGACACCTGGAATCAACCTAAATGCCCATCAACAGTAGACTGGATAAAGAAATTATGGGACATGTACTCTATAGAATACTATACAGCAGTAAAAAACAATGAAATCCGGTCATTTGCAACAAAATGGAGGACTCTGGAAAACATCATGCTGAGTGAAATAAGCCAGTCCCAAAGGGATAAATATCATATGTTCTCCCTGATCGGTGACAACTAACAGAGCACCAAAAAGGAAACCTGTTGAAGTGAAATGGACACTATGAGAAACAGTGACTTGATCAGCCCTTGCCCTGACGGCCGATGTACAACTTAATACTTTATCCCTTTTAGTATTTTTTTTGTTCTATTTAATACTATTGGTTGAACTCTGTAATTAACACACAATTATTCTTAGGTGGTTAAAGTTAACTGAAAAGTGATCCCTGTTAAATATAACAGTGGGAATAAGAGAGGGAGGAGATATACAATTTGGGACATTCTCAATCAGACTTGCCCCAAATATTAGAGTTAGAAACGTGCCAGGGGATTCCAATTCAATCCCATCAAGGTGGCATGTACCAATGCCATCTCACTAGTCCAAGTGATCAATTTCTGTTCACAACTGATCATAATGATAGGACTAAGAGTCAAAGGGATCACACAAACAAGACAAGTGTCTGCAAATACTAACTGACAGAATCAAAAAGGGAGAGAACGATCCAACATAGGAAGCAGGATACACAGCAGACTCATAGAATGGCAGATGTCCTAAACAGCACTCTGGCCTCAGAATCAGCCCTTAAGGCAGTCAGATCTGGCTGAAGAGCCCATGAGAGTATTTTAGGCATGAAAAGCCAAGACACTCTGGGGGGGGGGACCTAAATGAAAGATCTCTGCGAGTGTGATCCCAGTGGAAAGAACAGGTCATCAAAGAAGGAGGTACCTTTCTCTGAAGGGAGAAGAGAACTTCCACTTTCACTATGACCTTGTCTAAGTAAGATCAGAGTCGGTGAACTCAAAAGGCCTCCATAGCCTTGGCAACTCATGACAAGAGCCTAGGGTGATTACTGATGCCATAAATGAGTGTCAATTTGTTCAGTCAACAACAGGAGTCACTGTGCACTTACTCCTCATGTAGGATCTCCGTCCTAAATGTGCTGTACATTGTGATTTAATGCTATAACTAGTACTCAAACAGTATTTCACACTTCCTGTTTCTGTGTGGGTGTCAACTGTTGAAAGCTTTACTTAATATATGCTAAACTGATCTTCTGTATATAAAGATAATTGAAAATGAATCTTGATGTGATTGGAAGGGGAGAGGGAGTGGGAGAGGGGAGGGTTACAGGTGGGAGGGAAGTTATGGGGGGGAATCCATTGTAATTCATAAGCTGTACTTTGGAAATTTATATTCATTAAATAAAAGTTAAAAAATTAAAAAAAAGGCAGTTAGGTAGGAGGAAAAAAATGCTAGGGTTACAATTTACCATGTATTTTATAAAGAATCAGGAAAAGAGATTTTAAAGACTCTCAAGAAAAGAAATAGTGAATGCTTAACAAGATGCAAATGATAATTACCTTTATTCGATTATTGCATGTTGCATACATGCATTGAATCATTACAACATACCTTATAAATATACACAAGTATTATGTGCTAATTTAAAAAGAAGAAATTCTATAAATATGTCTCCACAATTCAAATGGTAGTAATACAAATGGTCGTGCCTATGCAAAAATAAAGAATCTAAACAGAACCTTCGTATCTTTTACATAAACTTATACAAAATGAATCACAGACCAAGGTGCAAAAAGCAATATTATAAAATTTCCATAAGGTAAAATTGGAGATTACCTTCTTGATCCTGTACTTGATCATGACAAACTATACAGAAGAACCAAAAAATTTCTGTGAAGGAAAAAAATAAATTTGGAATTTATTAAATTCAAAAACTCCTGCCACACAAAAGCACTATAAAGAGAACAAAAATGTAAACCAAATACTGGAGACATACTTGCAAACACCAGATGAAGGTGTCATACCTAATATATACAAAGAAAACGTAATATTCAACAATTAGGAAACAACCACATTAAGGAGCCGGTAGAAGTTATGAACAAATACTCGGTGGAAGACTATATGGAAGACTATATACACATGACAAGAAAAGCATAGGAATTTTCCTATGCCTATGGTCAATAGTATAGGACATTAAAGAACTGAACATTAACAAGATACCAGTACATACCTATTAGAAATTCTTAAATCCAGCCGGCGCCACGGCTCACTAGGCTAATCCTCCGCCTAGCAGCGCCGGCACACCGGGTTCTAGTCCCGGTCGGGGCGCCGGATTCTGTCCCGGTTGCCCCTCTTCCAGGCCAGCCCTCTGCTGTGGCCAGGGAGTGCAGTGGAGGATGGCCCAGGTGCTTGGGCCCTGCACCCCATGGGAGACCAGGAAAAGCACCTGGCTCCTGGCTCCTGCCATCGGATCAGCGCGGTGCGCCGGCCGCAGCGCGCCGGCCGCGGCGGCCATTGGAGGGTGAACCAACGGCAAAGGAAGACCATAGGACATTAAAGAACTGCACTGTCCACTCTGCCTGTACATACCTATTAGAAATTCTTAAATCCAAAGAACTGAATAACAAATGCTGGCAAGAACATGGAATAACAGGAACTGTCATTTATTCCTGGTAGGGGTGCAAAAATGGTACAGCCGCTTTAGAAAGACAATCTGGTAGTTTCTTATAAACCTAACATCTTACTATAGATCATGCTCCTAGGTATGTCCCCTTTTGATTTAGAATTTTATACTACTGCAAAAATCTATATAAGAATGTTTATAGTAATTATTTTCATAATCTTCAAAAATTGGAAGCCACCAAGTTGTCCCTCAATGGGCAAGTGGATAAGCAGGCTGTGGTACATCCATACACTGGAGAATGACCCATCAATACACAGAAACGTACTATGCAGAGGAAAGTCATGTGGTGCCGCTAGTTAAGCTCCTGCTTGTGATGTCTGAATCCCATATCAGAGCCCCCGGTCAAGTCCTGGCTGTTTCACTTCCCTTCCAGCTTTCTGCAAGTTTGCCTGGCAAGATGGCCAAAGTACTTGGGCCCCATCCACGAACATGGGAGATTTGGATGGTGCTCCTGACTTCTGGCTTCAACCTGGCCAAACGCTAGCTGTGCTGTATGAGACACACTGATGCTATAGTAATACCTAATTTTTATGGTATTTTTAGGGAGTAGATAGCCTCGTTATTAAGTGTTGTGGCATAACGGGTTAAGTTGCCACTTGCAATGGTGGCATCTCCTATCAGAGGAAAGTTTTGAGGCCTGGCTGCTCTGCTTCCAACTCAGCTCCCTGCCACTGTGCCTTAAAAGCAGCAGAAGATAGCTGAAGTGTTTGGACCCCTGCCACCCATATGGGAGACCTGGATGGAGTTCCAGGTTCCTGGCTTTGGCCTGGAATAGCCCCTGCAGTTGTGCCTATTTGGGAGTGAACTAGTAGATGGAAGATTTTCTTCAATGCCCCAACTTTCCCCCAACTCTGCCCCCTTTACTCTGCCTTTCAAACAAATAAAACAAAAAAAATTTTTTTTTTTTTTGACAGGCAGAGTGGACAGTGAGAGAGAGAGAGACAGAGAGAAAGGTCTTCCTTTTGCCGTTGGTTCACCCTCCAATGGCCGCCGCGGCTGGCGCGCTGCAGCCTGCGCACCGCACTGATCCGATGGCAGGAGCCAGGTACTTCTCCTGGTCTCCCATGGGGTGCAGGGCCCAAGTACTCGGGCCATCCTCCACTGCACTCCCTGGCCACAGCAGAGAGCTGGTGTGGAAGAGGGGCAACCGGGACAGAATCCGGCGCCCCAACCGGGACTAGAACCCGGTGTGCCGGTGCCGCTAGGTGGAGGATTAGCCTAGTGAGCTGCGGCACCGGCCCAAAATATATCTTTAAAAAAAAAAGACACCACATGGGTCCAGCACTGTGGCTTAGAATGTAAAGTGCCACCTACAGTGCCAGCATCCCATATAGGGACTGTTTCCACTTCCGTCTACTCTACTTCCAATACAGCTCTCTACTATGGCCTGGGAAAGCAGAAGGTGGCACAAGTCCTTGGGCCCCTGCACCAACGTGGGAGACCCAGAAGAAGCTCCTGGCTTTACATGGGTGCAGTTCTGGCTATTGCAGCCATATGGGAAGTGAACCAGTGGATGGAGGACCTCTCTCTGTCTCTACCTCTTTCTGTAACTCTGTCTTTCAAATAAATAAAATAAATCTTTTAAAAAAATGGGTTTTGATTAATGATGTAGAAGTCCTGCGCTGTGTTGTTGTGTCCTGGCCCCAAGATCCTGGCTTCCAGCTGCAGCACTTCCACGGCTGTTGCTGGAATTTAAGGAGTGAATTACCAGATGGCACTCTCCATCTGTCTGTCTGTCTACCTCTGTGTTTGTCTGTTTCTTCCCCTCTGCCCTCAAATAAATGCTGAATTTTTAAGTGAGGAAAATGTATCTTTTTTATTTATTTATTTTTTTGACAGGCAGAGTGGACAGTGAGAGAGAGAGACAGAAAGGTCTTCCTTTTTCATTGGTTTACCCCACAATGGCCGCTGTGGCCGGCGCACCGCGCTGATCCGATGGCAGGAGCCAGGTGCTTCCCCTGGTCTCCCATGCGGGTGCAGGGCCCAAGCACTTGGGCCATCCTCCACTGCACTCCCGGGCCACAGCAGAGAGCTGAACTGGAAGAGGGGCAACCGGGACAGAATCCGGCGCCCCGACCAGGACTAGAACCCGGTGTGCTGGCACCACAGGCGGAGGATTAGCCTATTGAGCCGTGGCGCCAGCCAGGAAAATATAACTTAAGGTATAAAAACAGACCATGTATGCACTTAATGTGTGCCATGTACTTCAATATTAATAGATGACATGAAATAACCTAGAGTTCATAGGAGAAAGTATTTATTACAAATGCCCACATTATTGTTTTCTTGACATCGTTGTTTTTGACAGTTAGAGAATCTGAAAACACCATTCACCACGTGTCAGAAAAGAAAATGTCACCTTTAGTCAAACTAAGTCAATCCTGAACTAGAATTATTAACTAAAATAAAATTGAAGCTATTTCTGTACTTCTGTCTTAAAAAGAGAGATTATTTATTTAAAGCCAGAGCTCCAGAAAGAGAAAGTGAGACTGAGAGAAATATTCCATACACTGGTTCACTCCTCTGAAAGCCACAACAGCCAGGGCTGGGCCAGGCCAAAGCCAGGGAGCAGGAGCATTATATGGGTCTCACGGTTGGGTGGCAGGGGTGCAAAGACTTGTGCTTTGCCTAGGCAATAATCAGGGAGCTGGGTCAGAACTGGAGCAGCTATGACACGATGCAGCGCCCATAGGGGATGCCAGCAAGGGATGGCTTTACCTACCATGCCAGTACACTGGTGCCACTTTCTGTATTTCTTAAAGAGAAGTACTACCGGCTGATCTCAGAGATAACAGACCTATAAATCCTGTTTATTCTACTATAATTAGACTATATAAAATCAGTAAGTCCAGTTTAATAATTTGATTCCTATACTGGAAAATTCAATTTAAAAACTGAAGAAATACACCTTGAAATGAAACCGTATTTCTAGACATTGTAAAACCAACATTGATGCTAAAAGGTACTAAAGTTATGCAGATTCTTTTTTAAAATCATTCAAGTTTTGTTCCACATTGTCCTGGAAATACTAGCTAGAGAAATTAGGCAAGAGAAAAAATCAAGGGCACCTAAATTGAAGAGAGGCCAAACTGTCACTTTTGGCTAATGAATGATCTTACATATAGAAATCTCCCCAAAGACTCTACCAGAATGCTGAGAGAACTAACACAATCAGCAAAGTTTCAGGCTGCAAAGTCAACATACACTAACCAGTAGAAAGCCAATCCCATGTTCAACAGCTACACTAAGAAAAAAGGAAAATAATGGGAATACCTGTGACCAAAGAGGTAAAAGATCTCTACAATTGAAAGTATACATCATTGATGATAGAAATTAAAGAGTATTTTAGATATGAGATTAGCATGTACTACTTGTTTTATGGTTACAGTTCACTATTTCAACACATACACTCAGCGTAAGTTGATCATACCAGACAATTAGCCTTCCCAGAGATCGTATTCCTTTTCGGATTCACCATCCTGTAGTTCAGCCTCAAAGATTCCTTTCATGCAGAGCAGGACTAGTGGTGAGGAATGTCCATGTCCCTCCAGACTTCATGTTCAAACTGCAGGGTCAATGCTACAGTATAGAGGTGGGGAATGCAGGACTAGGGCTCCATTCTCTTTCACAGGATGAGTGGGTTCATTTTTTCTAAAATAAAAAGAGTTAGATACTTATTTGAAAGTCAGAGATACAGCATGAGAGGGGGAACAGGGCAGAGGGCAGAGGGGAAAGGGATATCTTCCAACTGCTGGTTCACTCCCCAAGGAGCCACAATTACCAGGGCTGGCTCAGGTCTGTCCTGAACTCCATTCAGATCCTCCACATGGGTGGCAGAGGCCCAAATACTTGGGCCATGTACTGCTGCTTTCCCAGGCACAATAGCAGGGAGCTGGATTGGAAGTGGAGCACCCAGGCCTCCAATCAGCTCCCACATGGGATGCTGCCGTAGCAGGGTTTAACCTGCTGGACTCCATTGTAGGCCCCAGAATACGTGACTGTCTAAAAGTGCTTGAAGGGGTGAGGTTGTGATTAAACAATCTGAGGACACCCCAGGAAGGCATGATCTTTCCTTAAAATTTACGGGTGAGTGTTGAAATAAGATGTGGTACTTTGTCAAGGGCTACAATGCAATTTTTCCACACATGTACTTGGCTTCAACCAACCACAGCAAACCACCAGCCTTTCCATCTTACCATCTCTCTCTGAAGAAGGCACGGCAGCAGCAGAGAGGGAGTGCTTTTTAGACATCAAGTCTGCTGCAGACCTGATTTTAGTCATCCAGCCTCCAGAACAAACACTGAGGAATGACCAGGAGAGGCACCTGGCTCCTGGCTTCGGATCAGCGTGGTGCACTGGCCGCGGTGGCCGTTGGAGGGTGAACCAACGGTAAAGGAAGACCTTTCTCTCTGTCTATTTCACTGTCCACTCTGTCTGTGGAAAAAAAAAAAGAGTAGCTCAGAAATCCTGAGACATCTGGAAATGTCTCGATTTCTCCCTGCTATTCTAAGGACAATTTGGAGAAAGCAGCTCTCTCAGCTGCACTTAGATGGCCTTCCACACCTGACCTATGCCAACCCAGCTACCTTCTGGTTCTCCAGGGTTTCTAACAAGAATTCCAGTGATGGTCTTAGGGGGAAAGGATGATCAGAGATTCCCTTCCTCTCAGCTCTGTCCATGTGAATAATGCGTCTGGTGGTGCCACAGGCAACAGAACACTTTGTCAAGGTTATCAGGATGCCAGAGAAGTAGTAACATCATTCTGAGACCTACAATTCAGAGATTCAAAAAACTGGATGTGTATCTTGATTGCAGACAGAAGTCTTTAAAGACCTAAGAGCTGTTATCACTCTTTAAACGAGAAAAGAAAAGGCCACTGGAGCATCCTACATGTTTTAATGTCTCAAAATATAAACGTCAATCTATTACCACCCTAAGCCAAAAGTTCATGGGTCCTTGGTTTTGTTTAACTGGAAGGTTTTTGAGAAAACTCCTGAGGATTAGCCGTGGCTGTGACTGGTCCCTGCCTTGCTCTGACTTCCTAAGGACCAACTGTCATGAAATACAAATTCATGCAAGTCCTTGCTGGACTGCTATTGGTCCATTTCTCGCTCTGACTTCATAGGAAGACATTGATCACATACTTCCATAATATATTGGGGCATCCTACATGTTTTAATGTCTCAAAAAATAAACATCAATCTGTATCACAAACCTAACCAAAACCTCTTGGAGTTCTTGGCTGCCGCTCAACCTTGATTGGTCCCCGCCTGGCTCTGACTTCATAAAGACCAACTGTCATGAAATAGAAATTCGTGCAAGTCCCTGCTGCACTGCCATTGGTCCATTTCTCCCTCTGACTTCATAAGGAGCCCTATGATGACAGGATTCCACACGCCTATATAAGCGGCTGCGTGGCCCAGGTTTTTGTCCGCTTTACCAGGGAGCTATTTCGGTGACCTGTGTGACTTGGACCCCTCTTTGCTTGCACTTGTGTTGGTTGGTGTTGGTGTGCTGTTTTGTTTGTTTGTTTGTTTCTTGTTCTATTTGTTTTTTTCTTTTCCCCATTTTGTTTTAGTTTGTTTTTTTCCTCCTATTTCTTTTTTGGCCCAGTGTGTCTTTTTTTGCAGTTTTTTTTCTTTTTGGCTTCCCCCATCTTTAGCTAGACAGTGCTGCTAGATTTCATAGTGTTAGTGTAGCTATTCAGTATTTGTTTTTTTGGAGTTTTTCTGGTTTTTGTTTTCTGTTTTGGTTAGATAGGACTTAGTCTTGCCACTGTGTGTGATTAGTGTAGTTAGTATAGCTAGTGTGCCACTATAGTCAGATCAGGAGGTAGTCCCCTTGTTGTCCCTTTATTTTCTTAGTTATTGTAGTTAGGGTAGCTCCTTAGTTAGCGTCTATGGACAGGAATATCAGCCAGAGCAGAGCAGAGAGTGTAGTTAGGGACACCAGCCTGGAAGGCCGTGAGGACCTGGATGTCGACACCAGCCGTCAGCTTGATCTCCAGTTTCTGTCAGTCCTGGGCAGGGGCAGCTTCAGCAGGGTGCTGCTGGCCTGCCAGCCGTCCAGCCAGCGGCTGGTGGCCGTGAAGCTGTTCAAGGAAGACGAGAGGGACCCTTTCGGCGCCAGGCGAGTGATGCAAGAGGCCAGCATCATGCAGCTCCTGAGCCACGAGAACATTATCAAGCTGCTGGAGGTGGGTTGCGTCGGCCAACACCACTGCCTGGTGTTGGAGCTGGCGCAAAGGGGCAGCCTCCACCAGTACGTGATGAGCCGGGGTGGCCTGCCAGAGCCCGAGGCCATGGTTATATTTGATCAGATCCTGGCGGCCGTGGGCCACTGCCATGAGCAGCGCGTGGCCCACAGGGACCTCAAGCTGAAAAACCTACTGCTGGACTCAGACATGAATGTCAAGCTGGTGGACTTTGGGCTCAGCTGGCAGCTGCCCGAGGGCGAGCTAGTGTCCGGCTTCTGCGGGACCCCAAAGTACAGCGCCCCCGAGGTGTTCCGGCAGGAGCCGTATGATCCATTCGCAGCAGACCTTTGGAGCCTGGGGGTCATCCTCTTTGTCATGCTGGCGGGGGCCATGCCCTTCAGCGGGAAGGACCGGGAGGAGCTGCGGGACTGCATCCAGAGGGGGAGCTACGAGCTCCCGTGTGCGGCCAGCCCAGCCCTGGAGGAGCTCCTGAGCTCACTCCTCAGCCCAGACCCCTGCGACAGGCCTACAGCGGAATCTGCCCGCCAGCAATGGTGGTTTGACCCCTTACGAGAGGAAGCTGAGGGCGAGGAGGTGACCGTGGTGCAGCCCCTGGGGGTTCCCGAGGACCCAGAGGCCCAGGAGTACCTGGCGGGCCTGGGTCTGCTTCCGGACGCTGGAGCCTCGGTGCCATCTGGTCCTGGAGGATCCAGCCGGATGTCCCTGCAGCCGGACTCCCGGAGCCTGGAGCAGGTACAGCCCTGTTGGCAGAGCGTGGGTCTGGCCGTGGTCTCCCCGCACAGCTTCATGGTTTTGTGGGCATGAGGGAGGTCCGGAGTGCACCTGTCCTCCTCACCCGTCTTCCCCTCTCTCCTCAGGGACACAGGGAACCCGAGCCTGAGCTGGGGTCTGAGTCCGAGGCGGAGTCGGATTCAGAGCTGGTGCTGGAGCTGGAGCCCATGCCCGAGCTGGAGCTGGATCTGGAGTCGGAGTCAGAGTTGGAACCTGAGCCGGAGCCTGCCGTTGCTGCCCCCGTGCTGGCCATTTCCCTCCCTGGACAGCTGAGGGAGAGGAGCCCTGGTGCCAGCCCAGCCCCCGAGCCCGTCCCTGTGGTCGTCCCTTCCACCCCCAGCCCCAGGAGCAGACTGCACCTGGTGGTGCCAGAGGTCCCAGCAGCTGAGCCTCAGGAGCCTGGGACCTCAGCAGCTGCCTCTGTCCAGAGCAAGGGCCGGCAGGGGCTGGGCAGGAGGATTGGCAGGAGCATCCTCAGATTCCTCCTGTGTGCCTGCTGCCTGCCGGCCCCAACCCCTAGCCCTGGCTCCCGCAGCCGAAAGGTGGCCCCCCGCTAGCCTACCTCAGAGCACATCAAGAACAGGGGTCGAAAGCGGGGCCTCCTGAAGCTTTTTCATTTGCTTGAGAGTTTTCTATGCTTCTCATGAATAAAAATCTGAACTGTATGCATGGAATTGGTCCTGTGTGGTGTTTGCGTCCCTGTGTACACCTTGGCATGGATGGATGGAGGTAACAGGCAAGAGGATGTCACATGACAAATACAGGCCCCTCTCACTGCTCTGGGGCTAAGACAAAGGCTGACCTCCAAGACCTAGAGAACAGAGTATTGGTTCCAGAGGCTGGTGGGGGTGGGGGGTTGAAAGGGCAATGTGGGCTGGATACTGGAGTGTGGGAGGGATGGAGGTGAGAGGGTGGTGGGGTGATGATGGTGAGGGGTGCGTAGAGGGAGGGAGTTGAGGAGTGGGAGGGAGCAGAGAAAGGAGTGTTCCTAAACCTCTCACACAGCAGGGAGGTCCTAGTCACTTGGAATGTGCATTGAGGTAGAATTGCGTATCCATACCCAATACCCACCTGCATTGCCAACGGAGAACAAGACCCCACCCCCAAGGGCCAAGGACTCTGACATCACAGTGTACGGGACTGGCCAAGTGTGGACTCAGGCAGCTGCAGGTTGGAGCTGGGCCAGAATTTCAACTGTGGCCTGGGTTCAGCTCAGAACAGAGGCAGCTATGTAGCTGAGGTTTCCCTGCAAGTGTTAAGACACTGGGTCACCTCGCCAGAGAATGGACTTCCAAAGCTGCCTGTGAACACAGGACGGAGCTGGAAGTCAGCTGGAGGCTGCCAGCAGAGGACAGGGCCTCTCGTTCGCTACCTGGGGAAGCTGTAGATGGGATGATACTTAGCTAATGATCATTCCTTTCCAATCTGAAGGTAAAATCGATGCTCCCCCATACACATCACAGAGCTCATTTGCTGTTCTGCCTCCTATCAGGACACACTCAGAGCTGCACTGTATTCCAGCTTATGTGGGTGGGCTGGCCATTCTTGGAGGCCTCAGGGCAGTTACAGAGAAAAGTGACTCCGAGAAATCTCAAGGTCACCTACAGGAGTGACAAATGGTTCACAGTAGTCCTGATGGGATAAAACTGTGACCATGTGCAGCGCAGTCATGCAGGCACTCCGGGTGAGCTCCCTGCATGCATGTGACATGGCTACCATTGTCAGAGGTGCAATGGGAACACGGTTCCTGCTGGCGTGCGTACCTGCCCATGTGAGACCACAATGACAAGGTCCCAAAAATCAAGCCCTGTTGGGAGTCACAGAGGTGGCCTGGGCAATGCCCCCGGTGGGCTTGGTTCTCCTGACCTTGCTTCTGCGTTCCCTAACTGGTCAGTGCCCAGTATCCTGGCCCAAGACGTGTTTCCCTCCTGGAGAAGTCCCAAGAGGCTTTGCCACGTCCCAACTTCAGCTTCCCTGGACCCTGGGCTCCAGAGTTGAGATTGATGGTAAAGCACAGCAGCTCGGAGGGGCTGGTGTCTGTAGGAAGGGGCCTTTGCCAAGGCAGGTTCCAGGGCCACAAGACTGTGGATTCCCAAGAGAGGCAGCGGGGAAGACTTTCCTCTTCAGTGTACTACAAGGCTCACAGCCCACCTATCATGATCCTGGTTCCTCCCCATCCAGGTGAGACTGTCCTTCTCCCTGAGGGCAGGGCTAGGGAAGCAAGAAGCAGGCCAGGGATGGGGTGGCAGGCTGGGTGCCCCCATCTCAACAGTGTGGATTTTCTTTATTAGCAGAAACACAACTGTGAAATCCCACTGTTGCTGTCCTTCAAAGCCATGCCTGGCTCTGTCCCCTTCAGGGCAGGACTCAGCTCCTCCTCTCAATGGAGACCTAAACTCACCTGCCCTCCTGCCCACCTTCCCTCTGCACACATTGAACAGCCTTGTTTATCACAGGTACTGGGTAACCTCTGGTCCACTGCATGTGCTCTTTCCTCTCTGGGAAGCCAGCAGGCCGGGGACACCAAGCCTGAAGCCTGGATCTGCATCTGGGTCTCTCATGCTGGGTGTCAGGGAACACTTGGGTGTTCACATGCTTCCTCTCACAGTGCGTGTTGAGTAGGAACGTGAGATTGAAAGCAGTGCCAGGACTGGAACCCAGGCACTGGGGTAGTCCATGTGTGCTTCTCAAGTAGGGTCTTGAGACCTGCCCCAGACACCTGCACCTCTCTGGGTTTTATTTAAACTGCAATCACCTACAGGTGCCAATTCGATTCCTGGCTGTCCCATTTCTGCCGGCGCCGCAAGGTGGAGGATTAGCCTAGTGAGCCGTGACTCCCTGCTAAGGCCTGGGAAGCAGTGGATAATGGGCCAAGTCCTTGCACCCCTGTAATCACATGGGAGACTGGGAAGAAGCTCCTGGTACCTGGCTTCAGACGGGCTCAGCTCCAGCCATTGTGACCATCTGGGGAGTGGACCAGTGGACGAAAGATGTCTCTCTCTCTCTCTCTGCATCTGCCTCTATGTAACTCTGCCTTTCCAAAAAAATGTATATGCACCTAATTACAGGGTACCTTGTTATTTGAAAGAAATGATAATGGATCCAAAAGGAGACAGAGACGCCCCTATAATCATAATGGAGGACTTCAATACTCCATTTTCAGCAATGTACAGAACAGACAGAAAATCAGCAATGAAACAACAACAGTTAAATGACATATAGAATAAAAACTACATCATGGATATCTACAAAATTTTTCTTCCCACAGATGTAGAATACACAGTCTTCTCACCAATGCATAGGACATTCTCTAGGATAGACCACATGCTAAGCCATTAAAGCAAGTCTCAGCAAATTCAGAAAATTGAAACATACCATGCATCCTCTTGGACCACAATGGAATGAAACTAGAAATCAACAACCCAAGAATCTGTAAAATGTATGTAAACACATGGAGACTCTACAACATGTTCCTAATGAACAGTGGGTCAATGAAGAAATCAAAGAGAAATCAAACAATGTCTGGAAATGAATGAAGATGACAGTACATCATATCAAAATTTATGAGATTCTGCAAAAGCAGTGTTAAGAGGAAAGTTTATAGTAATTGGTGCCTACATCAAGAAATTGGAAAAGCACCAAATAAATGAACTATCAATGCATCTCAAGGACCTAGAGAAACAACAACAAACTATTCAACAACTAGTTAAGAGAAAGAAATAATTAAACTTGGAGAAGAAACAAACAAAACTGAAAGAAACAACAACAACAAAAAAAACAGCAAAATGAAAAGCTGGTTCTTTGAAAAAATAAACAAACTGACACACCCTTTCCCCAACTGACTGAAAAAAAAAAAAAAAGAGACCCAAATCAATAAATGATTAAAAGACAGAGATGAAAAGGAATGTAACAAATACCGCCACAGAAATAAAAAGAATCATCAGAAATTACTACAATGAGCTGTATGACAACAAACCGGGAAACCTAGAAGAAATGGATAGATCCCTGGACACATAAAGCCTACTTTAATGGAGCCATGAAGACATAGAAAATCTAAACAGACCAGTAACATGACAGAAATTAAATCAGTAATAAAGACCCTCCCAGCAAAGCAAAGATCAAGACTGGATGGCTTTGCCGCTGAATTCCACCAGACATTTAAAGCAGAACTAACTCCAAATCTTCTTTTTTTATTATTTATTTATTTATTTTTTTGACTGGCAGAGTGGACTGTGAGAGAGAGAGACAGAGAGAAAGGTCTTCCTTTGCCGTTGGTTCACCCTCCAATGGCCGCCGCGGCCGGTGCACTGCAGCTGACGCACCGTGCTGATCCAAAGCCAGGAGCCAGGTACTTCTCCTGGTCTCCCATGGGGTGCAGGGCCCAATTCCACTGCACTCCTTGGCCACAGCAGAGAGCTGGCCTGGAAGAGGGGCAACCGGGACAGAATCCGGCGCCCCAACCAGGACTAGAACCCGGAGTGCCGGCGCCGCAAGGTGGAGGATTAGCCTAGTGAGCCGTGGCTCCGGCCTCTCCAAATCTTCTAAAACTATTAGAAACAATTGGAAGGGAGCGAATCCTCCCAAACTCCTTCTATGAAGCCAGCATCACATTAAACACTAAACTTGAAGAAGATATAACAGAGGAAGTGAAGCATAGACTGATTTCCCAGCTGTCCAGAGGTATTTGTGTATTTAAGGAGATCAATACCACCAGAAAACTGATATTAAGATAGAAGGGATATATACCCTGAGATAGTAGGTTATAAGGAAAAACTAAACTCCAAGTTTATTCCCTCTGGCTTTCTTCATGCAGAGATCACATGCAGCTAAGAGTGAGAGGCAATGTACAACAGCAGGACATGCACAACCGTAGTGAGAGGAGGCTGGAGAGGGGGAGCTTTTCATCCACACTCACATAGACAACTATGTGGGACTCAAAATCAGTAGCTGAATTTTCTCATCAAGTAGATTAGGCAAGACCTTGAATAATTACACAAAAATTATAAGCCTGTCGCTATTCAATGACCTATAAGTAAAGGTAACACCCTATTTTCACCTATTTATATATATAGAAGATAATGCATGAAAATTAACAACAAAAAAGTTTATATTTCATACAATTAAAAGCTAAGAAAACAAGACAAAAGTAGAAGATGGACAGGCTGATGACTGATAGTCATTAACACAACACAGAAACTTGGAATGATAAATGATGTCGAAAATCTTCCTGACAGTGATGTCCCAATCTGGAGTTGGATTTAAGGGCACGTTGAGTTCATCCATCCCATGTTACATGCATATCCCATATTGTGTGCCTTGTTTAGTTCTCACTTGTGACGAAACTTTCTGCTAATGAACACCATTAAGAACAGTGCATTACGGTTCTGGAATTGGGGTTCTGAACACAGATGTGGGAGATGAATCTGGGGCTCCTGGCCCTATGCTTTGGCCTGGCCCAGCCCAGATGTTGTAGGCATTTGGGGAGTGAGTCAGCAGAAGAAACTCTCTCTCACCATTAAGAACAGTGCATTACGGTTCTGGAATTGGGGTTCTGAACACAGATGTGGGAGATGAATCTTTTATTTATTTTAAAGAGTCAAAAAAAGGAGGGAAGGAGGGTGGGAGGGAGACGTTGGTTCACCCTCCAATGGCCGCCGCTGCAG